AGAGGGTACACCCACCCACCCCGGATTCTCCATTTTATCCTGCCATGACTCTCCCTCGCTCTTTCTCTCCTCCTCCCCTCAATACAGGAACCCTGGGCATCTGAATACATGGACAACTACAATATTTTCTTGAAGAAGCTGAACTGGAAGAATCGGAACCCTGTGTCATCTTTCTGCTCAGCAGTCAAGCCTGTAACCAATTTCTGTCACCGGATGCCCTCTCAAACACCAATAGCAGTCAACACAGCACCTTGAAAGTGTACAGCAATAGTTATTATGGTATGTTCTAAATTGGACCCTGTGGTATCAGGGGTGCCATTGGCAACAGTAATTGAAGGTGGGGGTCCAGTCCATGGTGTGTGGATTTGGCTGTCGGCTCTACTTACAAAAGAGGGCACACACTTGCATGAAATTCTCATGTTCTTTGTGTCTTGTGCAAATTTGTGTCCTCTTTTGCAAGTAGGGTGAAGGACTACCTGCCCACCCAGTCCCGAATTTACGTACTGTATAAGCTAAACAAGCTATAGCTTAGGGCCCCACTCTCTTGGGGGCCCCCAAAAAAATTTTAAAGGGGAAAAAACTGGATGTATATTTTCAAAATATAAGATAAAAAAACAAGTAAAATGGCTTTAGATACCTATTAGGTCCATAAATTACCATATAGCATATATTCAACACAAAAAACAGCAGCAATTTGTTGTTGACAAAGGACAGCTGGACATATAAAGGGCCCCATTACCATCAGTAGACTAAAGGTAAATGTAAAGGGTCCCCTGACCTTTAGGTCCAGTCGCGGACAACTCTGGGGTTGCGCACTCATCTCGCTCTATAGGCCGAGGGAGCCGGCGTTTGTCCGCAGACAGCTTCCAGGTCATGCGGCCAGCATGACTAAGCCACGTCTGGTGAACCAGAGCAGCACACAGAAATTCCATTTACCTTCCCGCCGGAGCGGTACCTATTTATCTACTTGCACTTTGAGGTGCTTTCAAACTGCTAGGTGAGCAGGAGCTGGGACCAAGCAACAGGAGCTCATCCCGTTGAAGGATTCGAACCACTGACCTTCTGATCAGCAAACCTAGGGCCTCATCAAACCTAAATCCGGCCCTGCCCCACCCCCAACTAATCAGTGGCCACATCCAAGTAACAAAACATCAGACAGACAGTGTGCCACCAGGTGAAGCTTTTTCTAGAATTATTTCCATATGAGAAAAAGGCTAATGTGTCAAATTTCTGCCTGTTTAAAGACACAATATCCCTACTTTCTCTCTGTGCCAATCCTAAATCACATAAAGAATTCTAGAAGTGGTAAAACAGTTGCGATATTGTAGATCATGGGTGGGAAACCCTTTTTTGGCTCTGCAGGTTGGGCAAGGCTATCCACCTGTCAGTCATCTGGCACCACAATAATGTGACTGGGTGTTTTGAAGTCCCGAAGTCAGAGCTTCAAATCACCACACACAGCCCAGTTCGCCCTATACGAACTGAAATGCAGCTAGCCTTTGAAATCTGCACGTCTCCAAATTTTGCAATGCAGTTGTCCAAACAATAACATGTGGGGAAAAAATCTGTGAAACTGCATCTAAAAATGAACATATCAGTGAAAGTAACATGCAAAATATGGCACTTAAGGCTGGAAAAATTAGAAACAGAAAGAAACAGGGGTGGACAAATCTATCCATCTCTGCTCCCAAGTGAAACTTGCATAGGAGCATTTTGTAGTGAAACGTTCACAGAAGGTATGAGGATTTCTCATCTGGAAATGATCCAGCTGTACTAAAATCATTTAAACTATTGCTGGGTCAAAAGAAATCTCAGCAGTTCTTGGCACTTCAGTCTTTGGGTTTGATTGTGAGGAGATACAGCAAGCAGATTCTTTTATATTTAAGCATGTATGCCTTATGGGACGCGGGTGGCGCTGTGGGTTAAACCACAGAGCTTAGGACTTGCCGATTGGAAGGTCGGCGGTTCGAATCCCCGCAACGGGGTGAGCTCCCGTTGCTCGGTCCCTGCTCCTGACAACCTAGCAGTTCAAAAGCACGTCAAAGTGCAAGTAGATAAATAGGTACCGCTCCGCCGGGAAGGTAAACGGCGTTTCCGTGCACTGCTCTGGTTCGCCAGAAGCAGCTTAGTCATGCTGGCCACATGACCCGGAAGCTGTACGCCGGCTCCCTCGGCCAATAAAGCGAGATGAGCGCCACAACCCCAGAGTCGGCCATGACTGGACCTAATGGTCAGGGGTCCCTTTATTTACCTTTACCTCTATTTAGCTTGCTGGTTCATTCCACATGCTATTCCACATGCCTTGCTGGTCTATTCCACATGCTAAAGTGACACAGAAGGAGATGGATTCATCAATCCCTGGCTCTATTTAGTTAGCACGAATTTGTTGAATATTGTATTGAAGCCCTCTATGCCAGTGATGTCACATCTTGTGGCAGTGGGTTCCGTAAGTTAATTATGTAATAGGTGAAGAAGAACTCCCTCTCTTTCCTGCATAGAGCTCTGCATTTATTCCCATTATGAAAGTTATTGTTTTAGCTTCTGGAATTATCCATCCCTGAAATGCACCCTAGATATATTTATTTTATTTTTTCTTTCTTTCTGGTTCTAGTTCTTCAAGCAACACAGGATACCAGCTATGGACATTTGGACACAGGACCTTGGAGGCCTGAAGACCTGTTAGATACCAGAGACAGTTGTTTATATTTAGTGTATTTTTACATTTGTGTATATCATAGCAGGGATATGATACACCTGCTTACCAAAGTAAAACCAGAGCCCTAATTTGAACGGTGTATTGAAATGGACAGTACCACTGTGCAATGCATGTATCTTAGAATCAATAATCAAAGATAGAATTGTTCAGGTCACTGTGCCTTTTAAATAAACAACAAATGGACAAAACAAACTGGGGTGGCTTGCTGTACTCATTTTGCCTAAGACTGTGTTTGGCCACCTGAACGATTCTTCGTGGCTGGCTTGGGGTTTTTTAAAATGAAATTGTTCTGTCCTTATTTTTAGCTGTAAGTCGGACTTCCGGGGGGCGGCGCGAACGGTAATGGCGGTCTTCTCCCGACGGGAGAAGAAGCTCCGCTGAAATCGGGTCGTCCGCTACGGCGAAGCGGAGACCCAACGAGAAAAACCCCAGGCAGCAAGAGCCTGGGGTCCTGAGGCTCGGCGGGCGCCAAGAGCAGCCCTCCAACTGCAGAAGGAGCCTCGTCAGAGGCCCGGAGCGTGGAGGGGGGCTGCGGCGCTGTGAGCCGTTTCACAGTCAGCGGAGTGAAGCCGCGCTGCTGCTGCCGGTGAGCGCTGATCCCTTTTCCTGTTAAAATTCGGACCTGGAAGAAAACAACTTATTCGTGAGTAAAGACTGAATCACTTGGAATTACAAATTTTAAATGAGAAGGTTTAAATTGATTTGAATTTGGCTGAAAGCGGAGAGACGTGGAAACAGGAAGTCCGTCTTCCGCTGCCATTGAACTTGGAAAAAAAAGCAACTAAGGTGGAGGAGTGGAGGCTGAAAGAAAGAGATTTTAAACTCTACACAGCCAAGCATCTATGGAACTTACAATTTAAAGTAAAACTAGCAAGTTAAAGATTTGGACCTTTTATTTGCACTTGACTTTCCCCTTTTATTGGATTACAAATTGGAAGGTGAAACCCAGAGTCAGGATTGCTTGAGCACTGTAACAGTGGGCTGTCAGTGTTTGACTTGGATACTGTATATTAGAAGTTGCAACAATCTGAGGGTATTGAGACCTTTTAAATTTGAAACATTCTTTTTGGAGACAAATAAGCACTGTCTGCAACAAAGTGATTACTTTTAAACTCTGCTTAATACTTATATTGGAAGGTTCTGGGACATTAAATCAGACTCTGAAAAGACATTTTAAGCTCCCTCTAGAGGATTGGATTAAAACAGTGACTTTATAAATACATTTACTTTCGATTCCCTTGTTGTCTGCTTGCTCTGGGCCTCTCTATTCCTGTGGGAAAAACTCAGTGTGACCTTGACTGATAGATAACATTGGAATGAGTGGTACAAGAAGAAGAGGAAGAGTTAGACAAACAACTCTAACAAACCTAACCTCAGCCTCGCAGACACGTAGATCATCTGTGCCTACTTTGCCCTCAGAAGTACAACTTGAAGAAGCTGCCTTGCTACAGGCAAAAGAGGGAGAGGGTGAAGTAGAGCAGTTACAATTGGAAGATATGGCCTCAGGAGCATCTGTTTCTGTGCTATATTAATTACTTGAAAAATTGGAAGCTTTGGACAAGAAAGTAGATGCGCAATCAGCAAAGATTGATAAAAATACAGATTGTCTAAACAAATTAACTACACAGGTGGGACAGAATACACAAGCAATTGGACAGTTGACGGAGGCCTCAGTAGAAAACCGAAAATTGGCTGAGGATACCAGACAAAAATTGGAAAATTTAGAGCAAGAGGTAAGACCACTCACTAAACAAGTTGGGGAACATCAGACTTATCTTTCTATGATAGAACTGCGAAATCGTGAGAATAATTTGAGGATTAGATCATTACAAGAGGCAGAAGAAGGAAATCTAACTGAGTTTTTGACCAAAGAACTTTCCAAGTTCTGGAATTTGGAAGAAAAGGACTTTAAAATTGTGTCAGCTTTCAGACTTGGAAGATTTATAAAGAAGGAGAGGCCCAGGGATTGTTTGATTACATTGAGATCGAAGGAGGAAAGGGATAAGATTTTGGGCCTACATTACGAAAAGTCACTGGAAGTTTTGGATAGAAGAATTGAGATATATAAAGATATCCCAAGACAACTGTTGGACCTTAGAGCCGCCTATTCCGAACTTGCTAAACTATTAAGGAGCAACGCAATTCCATTCAGGTGGGATTTTCCCCAAGGATTATCTTTTACCTTTAGAGCGAGAAAGGTTAAAATTAGAACATTGGAAGAGAGAGATAAATTTCTGGCTACACACGGAGAGGACCTACATAAAGGAATTGAACTACCTTCCGGGCCTGAGGCAAAGCCAGCATCAATACCTCCACCTCGGGAACTTGAAGATCAAGAGAAGACACCACCCCAGGAGAAATAACCAGATAGATCCAGGATGTCTCTGCAACTGTTGAGCTGGAATATTAATGGTTGCAATATTCCGGAGAAAAGGAAGAAAATATTTCATATATTAAAAAAAGAACAATTGGACATTATTTGCTTACAAGAAACACATGTGACGAGGCTCCACAGAAAAGTGTTAATAAATAAAAGATTGGGCCAGGAATTTATTTCGTCGGATAAAGTGAAGAAGAGAGGAGTGGTGATATATGCAAAAGAGAGCCTGTCACCTAAATTTCTATTTAAAGATGAACATGGAAGGATTTTGGCTATTGAGATACAATATCAAGGAGAGAAACTGCTGATATTAGGAATCTATGCGCCTAATGAAGGGAAATCGGAATTTTACAAGAAGTTGCAGGGGACAATGCTGGATCATCTGGATTACAACAACATCATAATGATGGGAGACATGAACGGGTCGTGTCAACTAACATGGACAAGTCGCAAAGTCAAAACATCACAAAAGATGGCAGACTACCTAAAACCTTTTTTGAAATGACTGACAATATGGATTTGATCGACATTTGGAGAACAAAGAACCCACTAGGTAGAGAAGGAACATTCTTTTCTGAAGCCCAACTGACCTGGACAAGAATCGACCAAATATGGATCTCTAGAGGCCTGGCACCTAGGGTTAGAAAAGTGGAAATCTGCCCAAAGACCTGTTCTGACCACAACGCAGTAAAGATGGACATGACACTACTACCAACTGGATCCTTTAGATGGAAGATGAATGACAATTTGTTTAGAGATCAGGAAATTACCAAGAAGGCCCAAAAAGCTTTGAAAGATTATTTTGAGATAAATATGAACAATTCGGTGGAAAAAGAATCGCCTGGGACGCAAGCAAAGCTGTCATGAGGGGATTCCTGATACAACAGAATGTAGTAAAGAAAAAACACAAAATGAGAAAAAGACAAGATTTTGGATAAAATAAAAGAATTAGAGAAGAAATTAAGAGTGAATCCAAAGTCACAGCCAACTCTGAGAGAAATTAAACTGTATCAAACACAGTATTCTAAATTGATAAATCAGGAAATTGAATGGAAGATCAAATTAATTTAACAATAAACGTTTGAGTCGGCGAATAAATGTGGAAAACTGCTATCCTGGCAGTTGAAGAGAAGACAAAGATTAAACACGGTTACAAATTTAGAGGTTGATGGAAGAAACATTCAGAATCCAGTGGACATTAGAAAGTGTTTCCAGAGATATTTTAAAAATTATATACCCAAGGGCCGCAAGACGAAGTTGAGATTAAACAATTTTTGCCAAAAATGGATTATCTAAACTGTCACAAGAAAATAGGACAATCCTGAACTCTAAAATAACACGACAGGAGATTGAACAAGCTATTCAGAACATGCAACTTGGCAAATCTCCAGGGCCAGACGGGCTGACCTCCAAGTATTACAAGACACTAAAAGACTATTTGATACAACCCTTGATGGAGGTTAGCAATGAAATTATGGAGGGGAAGAGGGCACCGGATTCGTGGAAGGAAGCGTTTATCACATTGATACCAAAGTCAGAAACTGAAAAGACACAACTGAAGAACTACCGTCCCATCTCCCTTTTAAATGTGGATTACAAAATATTTGCAGATATTTTGGCAAGTAGATTTAAAAAGTTTTAAATGAAGTAATTCATAAGGACCAGGCCGGTTTTCTCCCAGGTAGACATTTGTTTGCTAACACAAGGAACATTATTGATATTTTGGAACTTCTCCAAACTGACATAAATACAAAAGCTGTTTTAATTTTTATAGATGCGGAGAAGGCCTTTGATAACATTTCTTGGAAATTTATGATGGGAAACTTAAAAGAGATGGGAGTGGGACGGGGTTTTGAGAATGGGATTGAGGCGATATATTCAGAACAGAAAGCAAAACTGATAGTTAATAATGTGGTTACAGAAGAGTTCAAAATTGAAAAAGGGACACGACAAGGTTGCCCTATTTCCCTTTGTTATTTATTTCGGTCCTGGAAGTGCTATTGAACATGATTAGAGGGGACCAGCTGGTGGAAGGAATTCAGGTTGGTCAGAAACAATATAAATTAAAAGCTTTTGCAGATGACCTGGTTTTGACCTTGCAGAAGCCAGAGCCTAGTACGAAAAGAGTATTACAATTGATTAATGATTTTGGTCGGGTGGCGGGATTTAAATTAAACAAACAGAAAACTAAGGTTTTGGGGAAAAATCTGACTGAGACAGAGTCAGAACGGTTTCAGAATGAGACGGAACTTAATGTGGTTAAAAAGTAAAATACCTAGGGGTAAACATAACAGCAAAAATCTAAGTCTATTTAAGGATAATTATGAAAAATGTTGGACAGAAATTAAGAGAGACTTAGACAGTTGGTCAAAATTGAAACTTTCTTTGTTAGGCCGAATTGCTGCGATTAAGATGAATGTATTGCCAAGAATGTTGTTTTTATTTCAAACACTGCAGGTATTGGACAAAATGGAGTGCTTTCAGAAGTGGCAGAGAGACATTTCGAAGTTTGTCTGGCAGGGCAAAAAGCCCAGAATTAAGTTTAAGATACTAACCGATGCAAAACAAAGAGGGGGCTTTGCCCTGCCGGACTTAAAGTTGTACTATGAAGCCGCAGCGTTCTGCTGGCTAAAAGACTGGCTACTTCTTGAAGACACTGATGTGTTAGATTTGGAGGGGTTTAACAATGTTTTTGGATGGCATGCATATTTATGGTATGACAAAGTTAAAGCAAATAAGGCCTTTAAGAACCATATTGTTAGAAAATCACTGTTTAATGTCTGGACAAAATATAAAGACTTGCTGGAAAATA